GGGGGAAGAGGTTGTGAATGGTGTTTGCACCCCCAATGCATGTACAAGAGCTCATCCTTGTGTGAGAGCCCCTTTCCTGCACATGCTGGAGGGGGGGATCCCCCGCCTTGCACCTTGCACACATGCAAGGATGTAGCTGCCTCCCCCCCATCCTCTTGTGAGGGTCCCTGCCCCACACCCGTTAGTGCATGTGCATCTGTTCTGTTCATCAGGGCTCTCATGTGAAGCCTGCAGCCAAAAGCATGCAGCTGGCCACACCCCCACCATTGCATGTGTGCAGGGGCATGTCCCCGTGCACCCAGGTGCATTTGTGCAAGGCCTGCACTCCCAAGGCACATGGGAGTAGCCCCACGCCCCCGTGGAGGCCTGCCACCACCCTCATGTGAGGCCCAGACCCTACCCCTGTGCGAGACCTAATCATTGCCCCCATGTGAGGCCCTCATGCAAGGCCTGCTCCGCCCTTGTGCAAGGCCCAATCCCCACTCTTGTGCAAGGCCTGCCCTCTGCCCTCGTGCAAGGCACCCATGCGAGGCCTGCCCCTACTCTTGCACAAGGCCCCTATGAGAGCCCTGCCCCCATGTGAGGCTCCTGTGTGAGACCTGCCCCTACCCTTGTGTGAGGCCCAGTGTAAGAATCACCCCCACCCTCGTGTGAGCCCCTGCGCAAGATCCCTCACCGTGCTGAGCTTGCTGGCAGTGAGCAGGATGCGGCGCTCGCACAGAAGGCTCCCATAGAGCTGCAGCATGTTGGGCACGTCCACGGCCACCACGAACTCTGTGAGGTTGCGCTGCAGGAGTGGGAGGAACTTTGACAGCCCCAGCCCCAGCCCCAGCCCCAACCCTCTCCCCCCAGGAGGGCACTCACGTTCTCAGGGATGCTGGGCAGCCCCCCCAGGTCTGGGGCGATGAAGTACGAGGGCTGCAAAGGAGACAAGGGTGGGCAGGGGGGCCGTGAGTGGGGCTGGGGCAGCTCCTGAGCCCCAGTGGCTACGCTGGAGTATTAGGTTCAGCCCTGCCACAAGGGGTTAATCCCTGGGAGTCAGAGCCCAGGATGCGAATGAGGCTGGGGAGGAGCTTAGAGCTCAGGAGCTGAGGAGGCAGCTGGGTCTGAGGGTACTGACTCACCCCCTCGTCCTGCCTGCTGGGCTTCTGGTCCTGGCACTGCCCCTGTGACAGGGCCCCTGGTGTGATGTGCAGCCGGGTCAGGCTGGAGTCCTGGGGCGGCAGCAAGCAGTTGAAGATACCCCCCTCCCACCAGGGATTGGGTGTGAGGGGTGGCCTCCGCTGCCTAGGTGTGGGGCTTGGTTCTTCCATCCCCAGGACTCCTGCAGTCACGCCTGGCCATGCTCAGGTGTCTCCAGGTACTCCCAGCCTGGCTTCCCCCCGCATTTGCCTCAGCCCCATCCACAGAGCCCCCCTGACTGCTGCTGCCTCCTCGTGACCCACTCACTCCTGCATCTATCCATCCACTCACCCCACTCCTCCAACCATCCATTCATACCCACTCCTCCATCCATCCAACCATCCGTCCCATTTTCAACCACACCCACCCACCCTATTCAGGGATGCTGGGCAGCCACCCACTCATTCCCCTTCTCCTGTCCTGCCCTGCCAGCCCCCTGGTGCTGTTCCACCCCAGAGCTGGGCGCATGGGTATCCCTCATCCTGGGACCTCCAAGACCCCCAGAGGGCCCAGTGCCCCAGCTCCCAGGCCCCAGGGCAGTGTGGGGCAGGAGAGGGTGCCCCTTAGATGTGACACTTACAAACTCCAGGCGCATGGGGCTGCCACGTGGGGGCACGGGGTGGCTGTACAGGGCTGTCAGGAACTGCTCCAGGTCGCTGAGCTGGGGGGTGGGCAGGAAAAGGGTTAATGGGGGTGAAGAGGGAACCTGGGGGGTTGGGGGAGGGGAAGGGGACCCAGGAGTCCAGGCTCACCTGCTGTTTGGCCAAGTGGTCAGCAATGGTGTTGAGGATCTTGTAGAAAAGCTCGAACCAGGGCAGGTAGCTGGGGGCGGGGGTACAGTAAGATGCAGCCCCTACCTGGCCTTGGGATGAGGCTGGCTTTGGGGTGAAGTGTGAGCAGTTGGGTATGACATGGACCCCTCACCCAGCCCTGGGATGCAGCTGGCTCTGGGGAGGGGCACTGGAGGCAGAGTGTAACAGGGACCCTTGACCTGGTACTGGGATGCGGTTGGCTCTGGGGTGGGGTATGAGAGCTGGGTAGAGCAGGGATCCTGCTGACCCCCCTGCCTGCCTCCCGCAGGCCAGTCG